CGTCTTTCCAATATCCTTTACCTATCTCAAGTTCTGCCCCCTTCCCCCCGCCACGCTCCAACCCCTGCTTCTCTGAATTTCTCACCGAGCACTCCCGCCCATTAGCTCTTTCCCTTCTGTGGATATGTGTTGCTCTTAGTCTGCAGAATTGCAAATGCCATAATTCATTCTAAGTAATATTCACAACCTTTTCAATGAGATTGTGGGGTTTTGAGTTAGGGATTATATTTTACCTTAGTTTTTTTTTTTCAGTTACTCATAATTTATTGCAGTCTTAGGCACATTATAAATGTTCAGCAAATACTGACTTCATTTTACAGATTGATCTGGCTTTCCTAGGGGAAGTTTTCTTGACTAGAATAAAGAGAGTAGATGACTCCCTTCAGCCTCAACATGCAGCTCCCAGGATTGCACCACCCCCACCACCCCCCAGGCCCTGCCTCATCCATCATACAATTTACATTAATCCTTTGGATGAACCATGTTAATCATATATGTTCCATATTCATATTCTGATATCTCTTTCTCCTTTTATATGCCTTAGTGTAATTATATGCCTCATGTTGGTACTTACTTTTTCTTTTCTTTGTTTTTTAAGATTTTATTTATTTATCAGAGAGAGAGAGCACAAGCAGGGGGAGCGGCAGGCAGGGGGAGAAGCAGGCTCCCCGCCGAGCAGAGAGCCCGACAGGACCCTGAGATCACGACGTGAGCCGAAGTCAGATGCCTAACCAACTGAGCCACCCAGGCGGCCCGGTAGTTACTTTTAACTATGTTTTTTTTGCAGCACACCAGCTACACGTAGAGTGGTAGCACGTCACCATGCTGATGGTGATGATTCCCAACAGCTAGCTCTGTTGGAAACTTACTTGCAGTGTGTCAGGCATTGTGCTAAATACTTACCAGGTAAGGTGGATACGCTACCTTCACAGATGAAGAAATCAAGACTTCCGGAGGTGACATAATTTTCCTAAATCACATCATCAACTAATGGCAGAGCTAGAACACAACAGCAGTTCTCTTTCTAACTACTATGTGGCTAACCTGTAAATAAAATGTTGATGATGAATTTTTATTTCCTTCTCTGCCTCCTCTCCTTTGGTCTCGTCTCAATCTTTCAGATATTTGCTCTCACTGTGACTCTAGCTCTGATCATTCTCTCTGCCAGTGATAGCTAAGTGAGGCTTAGTCCCAGAGAGTAGAGGATATGGAAGGTCCGTGTCTGAGGATTAACTAAGTAACGGCTCCTCTGGCGGCGTTGGTTTAGGTACTGTGGCAGAACGGCCTCAACCCATTGGACCCTATAGAGCTTACCCATTAAATAGGTGGGAGGCACCAACTTGGGCAGGTAAGGAAACAAGAAACAGTTAATGAAACAAAACTCCACTGGGGTCACTGAAGTCAAAGGCATGAGATACAGATAGTAGTTGTGGGACTGAAGAAGGGACTGGGGCCCAGGAAAATAACTTGGATAGGGAGGTCCGACTTCCCTTCCAGTTTCTAGGTGGGACAGAAGTATTCCAGGCTTTAAGGAGCCCGTACTGAGCCTTGTGCACTGGGCTCAGGGATTCTGTTTCTCACCTCTTTCCAAAAGAGCTCCAGTTTTTTCAGATGCTCAGCGGTTCATTACCTCTTGAGCTATTACGTCCAGTCCTTCCGATTACCCCTTTCACTGGCTGCCTCCAGGCTTCTGCCCTGGTACGTCCAGCTACACACGTGCGTACCTTGTCCCCAGCATCCTTAGCCAGGGCCTTGAGCTTGGTCACTGTACTGTTTTGCTCTCTTTAGCTTTCCAGATCTATTCTCCATCTTTTTTGCCCTGTTCTGGGCAGCATCACCCCGTCTTCCCTCCCGTCTGGCTCCCCATGAGAATAAGCCAGGGGGAGACGCTAGCAGATCTTTGGCAGTGGCTAAGTCTTGCTGCCTAAGGCCACTGGAGCCACAGCCCCCTCCCTTGGCTACAATTCTCACCAGTTTCCAGTCACCATCCCGCCAGGTTTAAGACTGGTAAAGGCTTTCCTGCTGTGGGGAGGCCCTGGGTGCTCACCATCCCTTGCTGGCTTATTAGCCCTGCCTACACCTTTGTAAATAATGCCTCCATTAAATCCTATCCATATTAGCTCTTTGAGTATACCCTCTGTTTTCTGCTGGAGTACCGGCTGATTGAATCACTGTCCTTGTTTTGTTTTTTATAGATCTTGCTTATATTTCCTGCTTTGTAATTTCTTTGGAATCTATTCCTAATTCTTTTCATGCTCAGTGTCCTGTACCTTAGTCCAGACCTTCAACAGCTCCATTTAATAATATGTACCGACCACCTCCACTACACTAGGATCTCTGGCAATTAATTACCTTTCCCCCAAGCTTTTGAAAGTCTCATAACTGGTTTAGTGTCTCCTGTCTCTCAATTCTCCTGCTAGGTTGATACTCATAAACAGTACTTTAATTAGATTCTTTCCTTCCTCAAATATCTTCAATGGCTCCCACTGCCTATTGAAAAAAAATAATAGACCATTTAGCCCGATATTCAGTCCCTCCATGACACTGCCTTTTCAGTCTATTCACCTTTATAAAGCCCTCTCTTCTAGGTTTATAACCCATCCTTTACATAATATGCCTGTGCTTTCTTCCTACAGTACTTTTCCTCGTACCACCTGCAGAGAATCCTGTTTCTCTTCACTTATCTAAATACTATTTGTCCTTTGATGCTGGACTCTAACCTCAACTCCTCGAAACTCTCCCTAGACCTTAACGAGTGGAAATTATCTCTCCCCTTGCAAAACAGTGGAGCTTTTTGTCTGTTCTCTTTTTTTTGACAATTATGTCATGCCTTATGAAATATGATACCTAAATCTTTTATGGGTATTTAACAAATATACGAGCTGCACTGTGTACTAGCTGTGTGAACTTGAGACATATTTCTTCCCTCCCTCTTCCCTTGCTTCTGCTACATTTATTGAGCAACATACATGCAGGTCCCGGGCGAAGTGCCAGGCTCTGCTGGTGACCGAATGCTGACATGAGTCCCATTCACGTGGCACTTAAAGTCTAGCGAGTGAGACAGACATTAGTCCAGTAAATTCACAAGTACAGTTGCTGCTCTGGTAAGTGCTATGAATGATGGGTATGTGGTGCAACCATAGCTTTTAACAGCGTTTTGGTCTGAGATGAGCGTAGTAAGAGTGAGCAAGGCTGGGGTCGGCAAGCGGTAAGGAGTTCCACAGAAGAATAGCAGGTGCAAAGCCCTTATGGTGTGCATCGTATCCTCCTTCTTTCTTAGTTGAGTGGTACCTTCCACATAATAGGAACTCGGTATTTGCTGAATTTTTCTTGAATCTTAGGTCAAATGTGTTCTAACTAGATCTCATAGATCGATACCTTCCCTTGCCTAGTGCCTGTCCCCGTGAGGAATTTCCACGGGCGTCTCACTCTTAGAACGTGTCGTTGATGGTATATCTGGCCCTTAGTGTGTGCGACTTATAATATACCTTGTTTTCCTCACAAGTGTGCAAGTTTCTTCAAAGTATAAGGGACTGTATATTTCATATATCCTGTATCTCGTATGTCTTATGACCCATCCCTAAACTAGTGTTTCCTAAACATGTTAGATAAGTATCTGTTGATGATGATAAGAGACCCCGTTTTCTCCCCCCTCCTCCCTCTGTCCTTCCATTTCTGGGGAACAGGAGTCAGTGACTCTGGGATGTGTTACCTCTTGTCAGAGAGGGTTCAGGACTGGATATTGACAACAGATCTTTTTCAGGTAAGCGATGGATAAGAGTAGAAGAAAAATCCATTTCTTTGAATGTTGGGGCAAAGTGCCCAACAATGAAACAAATAGGCTCATAGAGGCTCGAAGATATATAAGGAATGTCTACACAGTAGCGTGGAAGGGAAATTGGGCATGTGAATCACTGGCTGAAAGGGACGAAGCCCAGGATTCAGAGCAACTTGACTTTCTGGGATTGAGCTGAACCAATACTCAGATTTCTGAGTTTTAACTTTTTTTTTTTTTAAATCCTTTAAAAACAGTGTGAAAAGGTATTTGCTAAAGGATCCTAAGGTTGATGATGGAGCTACGGGAATGAGGGAGGGAGTGGATGATGGCAGTGAAGGGGGAGGGCCTGCCCATGTGCTCAGTCCTCCCAGCTCAGCCTCACTCGACCCTCCATTCTTAGGTAGGCCTGTGGGTTCAGGCGCCAATACTAGGATTGGCTTCTATTTCGAAAAGATGCTGCAGTAAAGAACAGAGATTCGTCTATTTTATTCAGCAGCTTATTCTGAAGAGACTAAAATTAAGTAAAATAAACCAAACAAGCTCACGTCTTTTTTTACTAGGTAAATTTGACCTGGTTTAGTCTTTAATGTGGTGACTGGAAAAGCTGTCCCCGGGCACTCGTGCTTCAGTCGAGCTAGCCATGACCGAGCTGTTTATCTACAGCAAGGGTGGCGTGTTACCTGTTACAAAGAAACTAGGTTAACCAGCGGGGAAAGGACCAGGGTAGCAGCCTTGGGGAGGGGGCAGTATCCCCAACTTGTAGCAACATTATAGCTGGCTTCTTTGCTCAGGCTTCATGGGGAAATTCTTGGATGGTCTTATTAGCTGGCAGAGATGGGTGGTGGATAATGAGGCGGAGCAGAGTCAGGATTTCCGAAGCCTCTCATGGAACCGCACCCTCCCCCGGGGCAGCTGATAACCCCCCACCTCCTGTTTGCCATGCCCCCCCCCCAAACCCAGTGGCAGGACTGGGACTCTTCTGGCACAGAGAGCATTTGGGCTGCTTGCAGCCATGTAGAGGGCCGGGCCTCGGCCTTGGGCCCATCATGAGCCCCACACCTCTACAGTCCTGGCGTTTGGAAGCTAGGGTCGGGGCGTCCCATCAGTGCCCCCCACACACCGAAGCACTCAGCTCCTGGTTGGACAGCCTTCCCCCAGCGAGCTGGAGCTGCCATGGCCCCCAGCCCTGTGGAGGAAGGAGACATACAGTGTACTTCAAGAGAAGGACACAGAAGGTGCTTTTATTTTAAAAACAAAACAAAAAAAAAGTGCCACAGTGACAGGACACCGCGGGGGTGGAACACGCAGTGGAAGTGGGTTCTAGATGCCCGTGGCCCCAGCGGCCGCCCCCTGCGTTCCTCCTGTCTCCCTCCTCCTGGGCCTCAGCCCGCATTAACGGAAGCCTCAGTGGGCGTCTCCTCCCTTAGGAAGAGCAGCTTCCACGCCTCCCTCTCCTGTCATCAAACCCGAAAGCCTCCTCAGCTATCTCGCTTCCACCTTGAAACCAGGATCACTGGTCAAAAGTCTGGAAATCCGGGGAGTCCTGCCCCAAAACCAGAGCAAGATACCTGCCCCCACGCTAACATCTCCTTTCTGTACATTCAGTATATTTGGTCCTATATACATCTATATACATCTCTCTACATATATATTATCTGTCTCTTTCTCCTTAGGTCAACCTTCCATATGTACCATGTCCTACTTCCCGAGCCTCCACCTACGTCTCATCCACTGGTCCAAGGGAGACTCGGGTTTCATCGATTTCACTGGGTCCCTCAGCAGCACCCTTTGTCATCGTCACACCCTGAGTACCCTCCCCCATCGGTTGTTTTGCCCGTCTGGCATCTCCCCGTTAACATCAGTGCCTAGTGCCCTCCTGACAGTCCAAGTCTGCAGGGCCCATTTCTCACCAGACCTGGCTGATTTTCAAGCTTGTCCGAAAGCCCGAAGAAGGATTTCAGCTCTGAGGAAGAGGCCATAGTGTAAAGAGCCGGTTGCGGGGGAGGGGGGGGGGTTGCCGCTGTTCTCTGGGGAGGATTAAGGGAGGGTCAGCCAGGCTGTATTAAAAGGACAGAATGACTTAAAGTGCAGCTTAGAGCAAAGTCTGGGGTCATGGAGGAGAATCAAAAAGGTTAAGTCGGAAAATGTCCTCATTCTGTTATGCGAGAATCTGAGCAGAGTCTGGGGGCCTAGAGTTGACAGCAGGGGACTAGGGAGAAAGGATTTCCCTCGGGAGGGACGCAGCTGTGCGCAGAAGAAGCTAGTGGAGGATGGCTTGCTAATGGATAAGAAGGTACGCACGCGCACGCACACACTCTCACTCCAGTACTTTGGGCCTTTACACATGGGAAAAAATCAGGTAAGTCTCATGTTGAATAAAGTTGAGAGCCCAGAAACTGGCTTCTGTTCTGTGTCGGATTTTCAAGTTTTTCTGGTTCTTGTTTTCTTGAGAGCTGGGGAGTGTTGGTGGGGTTTGCAGTCAGTGAAGAATGAAGGGTCTTCCTTTTGAAGTCGTAGTTAGCCAAGTTCAAGGAAAGAGGCACATAAGAGGATCTTATGTGGATCTTGTGGTGACCATGGGTCCATCCTCAGAACCGTGAGAGTTTCTCTGTAAAGCTCCACACGCAGACGCACGTACACATTCTGGGTTAAGTGTGTAGCTTGTAACAAGCGACCGAGTCCACCTGAACAACCCGCCACTTGATTCATGCACGGACTCTACACCGAGCCACTGTGGGGGCGGGGGGACAGTTCCTTGGTACCTAAATGAGACCAGGAGGCACTCTTGGGATTTGGGGCTTTAGAGAAAGTTCTGGTGCCCGTATGCCTTTCTTGGCCCCTCCCACAGCCCCCACCAGGGAACAAGGAACAGCCTGAAGTTGATCTCCCAAAGTGTGCCCTTTAACGCACCTGAAGGTGGCTTCATGGCAGAGGAGAGTGGAGATGGGTCTGGCACCCACTTTATCCCAAGTGTCAGGAATGGCTAAGGGAGACCCAGGTTATTTGGCCAGGAGGCGTGGTCCCCTTCCCTCCCAGCACTGACTAATGAAATAGCCTGCACTGTCAGAGGGGCACAGGTAGGGGTGACAGCCTGTGTCTGCCGGCCACAGAGTTCTGCCCTGGCCCAAACCCTAATAAAGCACCCCCAATTCCCAGAGGCTCCACACGGCAGTCTGGAAATCTGAGGATTTGCTCATCCTGCATGGTAGGGTTGATATCACTTTCCTAGGGATTCTGGGCCCTGTAAGTATCTGGAACATCATTTCCAGACCTTTCTGTGGGGCCTGGGAACATACTGGCAAGGCTCATCCCATCCACAGGTCACCAGGAAACAAATCCTCCCAGGGCTGTGTGCAGAATAGGGTCAGGTTTTGGACAAAAGCTCTGCATTAGTCACTCCACGCTGAGGAGTTCGGATTCCAGAATGGGTGCAGGTGTGGTGGTTGTGACTGTTTCAGATTTCCTGGGTCAGCCTCAATTCTCTGGGAGCAGAGGCAGCGATGAGAGAACTGGGTATCTGAAGAGAGGGTCCACTTGAGAAAATAGAAAGAGGAAAACTGGTGACCAGGATTCTAGGTTATAGTCCGAATTTGCCCGCAGAAATGAACCACGCTATGAAAAACTCGGACTTCTTTCAACGGGGGTTGGTAGAGAACCCAGGATAAATGAATTCCAGATTCCCATATTTCTAAGGGCACAGACCCCGAAAGGACTGTCAGAGTCTTGCCTTAGGGAACTAGCTGTGTGGGAAATTAGAGGCGGGTGGGGGCCCCAGCCTCAAGTCACCGAACTTGGTGGTGGTGGTTGTGGCGGGAGGTGGGGGGAGTCTATCCAACCAACTGCAGTGGTCCTCCTAATGTGAGTCTCCAAGCATGGCTGAGGCGTTCTAAGTCACTTCAGCCTAATCTTCCCTCTCCTTCCCCCATCCTGGCGTAAGGGAGTTGTGCATCAGGTGGAAGTGGGGTGAGGTGAAGGGGACAATGGAAGGAAAGCTCGGACTCCAGTTGGCCTCGCCTAGCCACAGGCCACCAGGTTGAAGCAGAGGGAGTGGATGATGGGTGCTTCTGGGACTCCCCAGTAAGCCTGGGTAACAGCCCTCACCCAGGATGCCAAAGAGGAGAGACCAGAGGGATGGGGAGGTGGGACACCAGGCCATCAGACGTTGCTGATGCGCACGCTAAGGGCAGCGCCCTCCTTCTCAGCTTGCTCCCGTAAGGACTCCTCCAACTTGAGCTTCTCGGGGTCTCCGTAGCGAACAGTGCTGTCGCGGAGGCCACTAGGAAGGGCCACTTTCACAACTTGGTCAAAAAGGCTGAAGTCAGCTATGTATTTGCCACTGGCTGACAGCGAGATGGCAGGTGTGAACTCATAGCCCCAGAGGATCTCCTCCGGCAGGTAGGACGTGCGCACCTGGCAGGTGGCACTGGTGGATTCCACCGTCCCGCTGAGGATCAGCACCAGCTCAAAGTCACCCTCGCCACTGCGGAGGGGGAGGTCTTTCAGGGGACTGGTCTCATCCACCACATGGTAGAACGTGAGGGGTAGAATGAGGAAGGGGCTGTCAGAAGCCGTGTCGACTTGGAAAGTCACATTGACCTGGTTGAGCCGGATGTTCTCGCCCTCTTTGGTCTGGTGGGTCTGAAGCAGTTTGCCTGTCACCTGGCAGCCAATGAGGAGGCTCTTACGCATGTTGGCAACTCGGATCATGAGGCAGGGCTTCCCGTCGTGCGCAGCAACGACCGCGTGCTGGCTGAAGCGGATGGTCTCCGCCCGCTTCTTGGGCCGGGCGATCTTGGCCAGGAAGGTGCCCGTGATGAAGATCTCCAGGATGGTGGTGAGCACCAGCTGGGCGATCAGGAGCACGATGGCCAGTGGGCACTCCTCACTGATGTAGCGGAAGCCATAGCCAATGGTGGTCTGGGATTCGAGGGAGAAGAGGAAGGCCCCGGTGAGCGTGTGCACCTGGACCACACAGGGGGTGTGGTTGGCGGGGGGGCCCAGCTCCAGCAGGTCCCCGTGGGCCACCGCGACCAGATACCACACCACACCAAAGAGGAACCAGGTGCCTGCAAAGGTTGCCGAGAAGAGCAGTAGCTTATAACGCCACTGCATGTCGATGAAGGTGGTCCACAGGTCCTTGAGGTAGAGGAAGCGCTTGTCAGCGATGTGCTCCATTCGCACGTTGCTGCGGCCGTCCTTGGTCAGCACTCGGCGGCGGCGGACCACCGGGCCCACGAGGGGCCGGCTCTCCGTCTGGGTGGTCTGACTGTAATACACCTTGGCGACTGACGTCATCTGCAGGGAGCAAGACAGCATAATGGAGGTTATTGCAGGAATCCGGCCAACGCCTAGCCACCCCCCGATGCGAAGGAGGAAGTCACACCTGTTTGGTGCCGCTGACTTGTTCTTAGCATTAGCCAATGTTTATGAGCGCTTGCTCTATGCCAGGCGCTGTGCAAGACACTGGTGAGTCAACAAGAAAAATGACATCATCCTTGCACCCCAAGGACTCACAGCCTAGTGAGCGAGACACATTCAGTGAGCAAATAACCACAATGCAGTCTGACGCTTGCAATTCTTGGGAGACACAGAAAAGAAAGAGTCATAAGCTCACGGTTCTTTGAAGGGGGGGCCAGAAGAGAGGGCTCTACTGGTCTCTATTCCCCGCAAAACCAGTTCTGGGAAGATCACTCATTCTGAAATAGGATCCCTCCCCTCCCTCGTGAATGGCAGAGCAAGAAAGACTATCCTGTTGAAATCTTTCCAGGCCAACCCCGCTTAAAACACACAAACCCGGGCGCCTGGGTGGCTCAGTTGGTTAAGCGACTGCCTTCGGCTCAGGTCATGATCCTGGAGTCCCGGGATCGAGTCCCGCATCGGGCTCCCTGCTCG